GTTAATATTCTTGAGGAGGCAAGGAAAAACAAGAGATTTGAAGACCAGAAAGCACAAAATCACATACCCCATTCTCTGGGGGAAGAAGGCCTTTTATAACCACCTAGGTACACTCACTTCCAAACTTCTGCCAGATCGGGTGCCGTCACCTCTGCGGGGACAGACATAACCGCCACTGTCTTCCCTGTCAGGGCCGTCTCTGCAAAGACTGAGATGGTGGTAATAGGTGGCCGTTAAAGTGCGGCTGTCATGTGTCAAACCCCTAATCAGTCAGGCGCGCCGCCTCCGGGTACGGTTTTCTATGGTCTCAAGTACGGTTTGTCCAGTCACGTGACTTGGAGCCGAAGTGCTGGGGTGGTTTGCGAGGTGGCCTTGAGTTCAGATAGAAGTGTGGCCCGAACTGACCCGAGGTGGGCCAGCTCGGGCTTTTGCCTTTTGCGGTGTTCCTTGTAAGGCTCGGGGTCTCCAAGGGAAAGCTCGGGCTCTTCCTCCTGGGAAGTGTGGGTTTCTTTTGGAGGAGCTCGGGTCGGGCATGCCGCTGTGCCGAGCTGGCGCTCCTGCCAGGTCACACTCTATTGCTTCCACGTGTCGCGCAGCCAAGGGGTCGGGCCAAATCTCCCTCCATCAATTGCCCCCTAGGATTGGGCCCAACTTGGGCTCAAATGCAAAGATTATCTTACGGAGGCTAGGCTTATCCAGGCTGGTCTGAGTTCGGGTAAGTTTCTTTCTTAGTTCCTTTCTCTTTATTTTTTATTTTTTATTTTATTTATTTATTTATTTTTTACTGATGCCGAGCTCCTTTTGCAGGTGTCATGGAGGCGGAGAAGACCTGAGGTGCCTACTTGATCGAAGGGATGAAGAGGCTAAAGCGGGCTACCAAGCGGGCTCGTGCCGGATCTCCTCGGGCTGTGGAGCCCGAAGCCGTCCCCCAGTCATCGACCTTGACTCTCCCAGGGAGTCCGTGTTAGACAGTTTTGTATGCCCTTAGCTTCAATCATTTTGATGTACTTTTGTTATTTAGTGGAAATAAATAAAGTGCATGTTTGATTCAT